TATTTTGCTTAATGTAATACCCTCAAGTTCCATCCATGTTGTTACAAATGGGATGATTTTGTCTTTTTTTATGACTGAGCCGTATTCCATTGTACACACACATACACACACACACACACACACACACACATATATACACACCACATCATCTTTATCCTTTCATCAGTTGATGGGCACTTAGGTTGCTTTCACATCTTGGCTATTGTGAATACTGCTGCAGTGAACATAAGGGTGCATAAGTCTCTTTGAATCATTAATTTCAAGTTCTTTGGATAAATATCCAGTAGTGGAATAGTTGAGTTGCATGGTATTTCTATTTTTAATTTTGTGGGAAATCTCCATACTGTTTTCCATAGTGGCTGCACCAGTTTGTATTCCCACTAGCAGTGTATGAGGGTTCCCTTTTCTACACGATCTCTCCAAAATTTGTTTTTTTTTGTCCTGGTAATTATAGCCATTCTAACAGGTATAAGGTGATAACTCACTGTGGTTCTGGTTTGCATTGTCCTAAGTTAGTGATGTTGAATATCTTTTCATCTGCCTGTTGGCCATCTGTATATCTTCTTGGGAAAAATTTCTGTTCATATCCTCTGCCCATTTTTTGATTGGTTTGTTTGATTTTTTGTTGTTGAGTTGTATGAGTTCTTTATACATTTTGGAGATTAACCCCTTGTCGGATATATGATTAGCAAATATTTTCTCCCAATTGGTGGGTTGTCTTTCATTTTCTTCCTGGTTTCCTTAGCCTTGCAGAAGTTCTTTAGTCTGATGTAGTCCCATTTGTTTTTTTTCTGTTTCCCTTGCCTGAGTAGACATGGTATTTGAAAAGATCCTTCTAAGACCGATGTCAAACAGTGCACTGCCTATATTTTCTTCTAGGGGTTTTATGGCTTCACGTCTTACATTCAAGTCTTTGATCCATTTTGAGTTAATTTTTGTGTATGGTGAAAGATAATGGTCTACTTTCATTCTTTAACATGTGGCTGTCCAGTTTTCCCAACACCATTTATTGAAGGGACTTTCCTTTTTCCATTGTAGGTTCTTAGCTCTTTTGTTGAAGATTAGCTGTCCATAAAACTTGTGGTTTTATTTCTGTTTTGCTCATTTTTTAATTAGACATTTTTTGCTATTGAGTTGTATGAGTTCTTTATCTATTTTGGATATTAAGCCCTTCTCAGATAGATGGTTTGCAAATATTTTCTCCCATTTGGTAAACTTTTTCATTTTGTTGATGGTTTCCTTTGCTGTGCTGAAACTTTTTAGTTTGATATAGTCCCACATACTCAGTTTTGCTTTTTTGTTGCTTGTGCTTTTGGTGTCATATCCAAAAAATTGTTGCCAAACAACATGGATGGACCTTGAGGGTATGATGTTAAGCGAAATAAGCCAGACAAAGAAAGACAAATACTGCATGATTTCACTCACATGTCCAACATAACAAATACATGGATAAAGAGAACAGATTAGTGGTTACTGGAGGGGAAGGGGGTTGGGGGTTGGGCAAAAGGGACAAAGGGGCACATGTGTATGGCGATGGATAAAAATTAGACTACTGGAAGTGAGCATGATGAAGTGTATTCAGGAATTGATAAACAATAATGTACACCCGAAACTATACAATGTTATAAACCATTATAATCCCAATAAAATTACTTGGAAAAAAAATTGTTGCAAAGGCCAATGTGAAAGAGGTTTTTTCCCTATGTTTTCTTCTGGTAGTTTTATAGTTTTGGGTCTTACATTAAAGTCTTTAAACCTTTTTAATTTTTATGAGTGGTATAAGATAGGGTCCAATTTCATTCTTCTGCATGTGGTTATGCAGTTTCCCAACATCATTTATTGAAAAGACTATCCTTTGCCCAGTGAGTATTCTTGGCTCCCTTGTCAAATATTGATTGATCGTATACGTGTGGGTTTATTTCTGGGCTTGAGTCTGCTCCATTGGTCAGTGTGCCTGTTTTATGACAGTGCCATACTGTTTTGATTACTATTGTTTTAGTGATGCCTCAAGCTTTGTTCTTTCTCAGGATTGCTTTTGCTATTTAGGGTTTTTGTGGTTCCACATGAATTTTAGGGTTGTTTTTCTATTTCTGTGAAAAATGCCATTGGAATTTTGATAAGGATTGCATTGAATCTATAGATGGTAAAATAATGTTTTTATGATGTGATTAAAACCTATTACAGGCTACTAAGAAGCAGTGGAAACTGTGGTACTTAATCTTCAGAGAATAAGCTTATGATCAATGTTGGCCCTAGCCTCCTGCAAGATTAGACATTTTTGGCTCAGTTCTACACTGCCCACGATTCCTCCAGAATTGCAGTTGGTTATTTCCACCTCATTCTAGGTTCAAAGAAGAGTAATATTATTTACCCATAGTTCCACTGCAGTGAATTTGAGAACATCAGATGTTTTCCACCTTCCCAGTGTGGTATGAAACAATGAGATAGCATTCAACTCTCCTCACGGCTGTAGGGGAAAAACTGGACTCAGAGCCAGAGAAAAGAAGTGCTCCTTTTCCTGCTCACCCATTTGTTTGGCTCATATGAATATATTATCATATAGCTTTGGAGGTTTCTTCACTCTTCTTTCTGGTGATACTTCATTGTAGTTTGGAAAATTCGACTCCTGCCTTCATAGAACAACTGTGAGGGCCAAAAGCTTAAGCTCTCCAGGGATCATGGAGAGGTGTGGCTGTTACCTTTACTTGAACAGAAATGGACTAACAAGCATGTCTGCCCTTCCTGGCCAGCTCCTGATCCCCGATACTCGCATAGGACATGATGGTAAGGCAGAAGCCACTTACTGGCTCTGCGTTTCTGTGAAAATTACTTAACCTCTGTATCTCAGTTTCCTCATCCAACACCTTGATTGTAGCCTTGTGGAGAGATGATGACCTTGAGCCAGGAGCACCCAGCTAAGCCACGCCAGATTTCTGACCCATAGAAATGGTGAGATAAATGTTTGTTTTTTTTTTTTTTTGCTTTTCCTCCACAACCCCCCCCCCCCCAGTACATAGTTGTATATTATAGTTGTGGGTCCTTCTAGTTGTGGCATGTGGGACGCCGTCTCAACATGGCCTGATGAGCGTTGCCGTGTCCGCGCCCAGCCTTCGAACTGGTGAACCCCGGGCCACCGAAGCGGAGCGCGTGAACTTAACCACTCAGCTATGGGGCCGGCCCCCTCTTTTTCTTCTTTTTGCTTTTTGTTGTTTTAAGCCACTAAGTTTTGAGGTAATTTGTCACACAATAACAGACATACCGCTTCTTAGAAAGATTAAAATAAATAATACAATCAGGTTCCTCCTCACTATTTTTAATGGTTTTTCAATTACTATTTAATCATTAGGGTTTTGTTGGGCTTGAGTAGAAATTTTCCTAGATGGCGGTCTCTTTACCAGGTTGGCATTGACAGTTACTGGGCCACATGTCCAACAGCGCCACCCTCAGGTATAATCGCAGCACTCAAAGGCAGGTTCTGCCATTTCTTCTGGGTCTTCTACACACCAACCTGGTTTGCTACCCAAATAGCTGAACTCTAGCTAGAGTGATTGGCCACTGCTCTCTCCTCAGACTCAAAGGGCCAGCTCTAGATTTTCTTTTTGCTCTAACAAATGATTCTTTGCCTCTTCCTGCCCCTGGCTTCTGCCACTAAGTAGGTGGTGATGACTTGATTAAAACCTTCATAATTTCTACATTATTCTCTGCCCGTCAGTTTATTGGCTCATTTGCATTTACACAGTTTGTCTCTTTAGTAACCACCTCTGAAGGGATCACTGCCTTGGGCTCTCTGATCAAGCCCTTTAACAGAAATCAGACTTGGTCCAATCCAAGTCATTTCTGGACCTGTCACTGTTAGGACATATAAGTAAAATAACCACTTTGATTTCTTTTGAGCTCTATTTTATAGAGCTTCAGTTCTCTCCAGAGTTTTATTAGGAAGTATGCCTACATATGATGCATATTTATAATTCTCTTCCTCCTAAAAATAAACTTTCCTCCTAAAAAATAAAAATTTTCATAGCCATGGCACATCAGTCTCCTGCAGTGTTAACCCTCTCCCATGGTTGTAGGCGCCTACAGTTTACTCTGTAGACACATCCTAGGCCCCTTGATTGGAATGACCTGTACCTTGGAAAACAGAGACGTGTTTAAGCATTCTTGTGCCCTAGTTTGGCAAAGTTGGAGATAGCAAAAATGAAGTTGCTTTTTCTTCCTCTAAAGAACTCTTTCTCATTGATATATCCCTTCCAGAGAGAGAAGAGACAACCACCTCTCCAGAAAATCTGAGCAAGTAGTTCTACAGTATTTTATGTATAGCTATGTATAGACCTGGGTCACTAAATGACTTTGTGATACTTAGCTGCTAGCCGAGTTGGAGGACTGACTCCTGACTGAATTTCAACCAGTCTAAACAGACTGTAAGAACAGCAGCTGAGCTGGGCCTACTTCCAAAGCTGAGCAGTTCTGAGATTCATAGCCCCACCCTCCATTTTAATACTTGCAAAACTAGCATGTGTGTTACAACCGATGCTATTTTAGATTAGATGTAATCTGGTAAATATCTGTTTTAAACAATTCAGAAACAGCATTATTTCAAATGTAGTAGCGTGCTATTACTAGTGGGTCTGTGGGCATCTGAGATTAATGCTCAGCTTAATGCAAAGAATCCTGAGAATCTGTGGGAAAGGCAGCGACAGGCAAAGATCAACTAGTGGATCCTGAGCTCCTTGCTAGGGCCCTTCCCCAGGTTAAGGGCTGGTGTTGTCAATCTGTGTTGGTGTTTTCCATTTAGACACAGCTCCGATAAAATTAAGCACCTTTTCATACAATTTAAGAAAAATATTCCTGAGTTTTGTAAACAATGCTGGATTAAATGATTTAATGCATACACCAAACTAAAATTTGCCATGGTGTTTTCTAAGTTTATCCTGTTCTACATATTTTCATATTTTTTCACATATTAAATCAATTTATAAATTGTACGCTCAACAGAGCACAGATACTTCTATAAAAAATAAGTTTTATTAACAAAACGGGCTCACAATATAAAATACAGATAGATGAGTTCACTTTAGTAATTTTTTGGGATCATTTTTCTTATTAGGTGTAGCACTGTAGACAAGTAAATAAAATCAAAGACTAGTTCCCTTGCCCAAGCCCTGTGAAATCACGAAAATCAAACACAGGCCACATAAGACAAGTCAGTCCTCTTTCTACTTCCCCTTCCACCATGAACCTCCTGGAAAGCCGCTTCTGTCACCCATATGCTACTCCTCAGCTCATTGCGTTACTGTCCTGCTTACCCAAGAGAGCCAGGATTGGGAAGAAAATGAGTCTAAAGTTTAAAAGGAAAGTTCTTGCCTAAAACAGTTCTAGGAATCCATATCAGGAGACTCTGGCTGTAACTTCTGATAATGTCCTTCAAGAGCCACTTCTTTATTCCTTAAGTCAGGGAACACCACAAAGACATGGCCAACCTTTTATGGCCTCGTCACTTGGCTCCTGCTGGGCGGCCGTGGTGAGGGACTGTAGGATTTCAGGGAAGTGGAAACGGCTTGGATGTTCCCTTTAGAACTTCTGTAGAAATTTGAGGACAAGGTCCCGAAGCCGCACCCTGAGCATCTCGTCATTATCACAAATGATGTGGGTTGAATCTTCCTCAATCTGGATGAGGGTCTCAGCCTCCTGTAGCAGGACGATATGGCCCTTGGCTGTGTCTTCCACCTTAACATCACTGAAGCCATGCTGCTCCAAAAGACAAGAGAAAGGAGGATGATGGGCAGTCTGAAAAGCAAGGGGCTGACTGAAAGGCAGGAGGATACTTCAGCAACTGAGTTCTAAAAATGACACTTCCTAGACTTGGCTAAACTGAACATTCTAGAAACTGGCATTTTTTACACTCCTCAATACCATCCTTCAGACTAATCACAGGACCTACTATAACAATAGAATCCATAGTTTCATAGACTTTAAAAGAAGCCCCCAAACATGCAAAATCTTATGCAAAACATGACAGAATTTCTACAACCTGCTTAAGCTTTCGTGAGTTGAGGAGCACATCCAAGCACCTGGGTTCAGGAGTCTGGGATGCTGGTCTGTTCTATCACCAGTCTCCTTACCATGCCCGTGATCCCTGGCGAAAAAGCTCCATCCTGTCCCAGAAAAATGCCATTCCTCATAGCAAGATACCACTGACCCTGGATTTGGCAAATCCCTCTGAAGGGAGAAGGAGATAAGGCAGCATGGCAAATACTTCTCCAGCTATCTCTAAGGCAAATTATGGAATTTTCTTACACATCAGACATAAAGTTGAGAAAGAAGAAAAGAAGTGGAAAGAAGACTGCTTTGCCTGAAAGGGACACAAGATAGGTAAAGAACATGACCTAAGGAGATGCGCCACACTTAGTTCTAGAAAGCTCATGTGTAGTTTGGGGAAGGTACTGACATTCCTCCTGAAGAAGGCAATGAGGCAGAAATGGCAGAGGGGAATAGTCAGGGTCAAGTCCTAGGGGTCAATTCCGGATGAGCCAGGCACAACTAAGTAAAGGTCTTTCTGGGAAAGCAAGTTGTTTCAAGTTTTAAAACTTGCGTCCTGTCAACAGGGGCCAGGGGCACTGCAAGCTCACGAGGAGGCAGTTACTGACATGCTTACATCACGTCGGGTACCCCACGTTAATTCCCACGGAGCATTCCACGGTACCAGGGCTAGGAGAGCCGCGCAACTTGGCTGAAGCCCTTCCTTCAGGGAAAATTAAACGACTAATGGAGAAAACAAATCCTAATAAAGGGACAGCCTTTAAGATTTGAAAGAACTCAGCAACTGAATTATTTAGCTTGGACAAAAGGCAGTAACTAATAGTCCAGCAGAAGAAAATCTCTCTTTCTGGAATTATCTGAGTTAGCTGCAGTTCTTCTTGCAAGGAGCAGCGTGACTATTATTATCCTTAGCCAATTTCTTCTTCTTTCTATCAAGGATTCTATAATTCTAATGCTGAAACAGTGATCTATGAAGTCATGTGCACTGAAGCCAAAATCACAAAAACCTGTAAGGTTAAATTTTTTTCCTTTTAATTGTAGTCAAGAAATCTATTTCTTGGGAGGAGCAGTCCTCAGGGACACGGGTGTGGGACAGGTGCTGAGACGGGGAAGGACCAGTGTCCTCCAAGATCCCTGCCCACTTCCTCTCTCTCCTCCCACCCCATCTGGGAATTGTTGGTTGTGCTTCTCGGATTCCCAGGGATCTGGCGACACTGATGCCCTCTGCCCACACTGTCCCCAGTCTTGACACTCAGCCCTGAGACTCTCCTCTTCTGAGACATGGCCATGCTGGCTCTCTGACAGCAAGGGGTCTTCTTGCAGAAAGGTGAGGCGCTCTCTAGAGAGGGCAGACCCTTCTCCATCCTGGCCTTTCCCACCCTGCCCAATCTGTCACAGCTACGTTTCTGAAGAAAGGCCTTTCCCAGCTCTAGTTCTCAAAAGAATTGGGGTTCAGTGAGGTGGTCATCTAGCTTCTGGGCCTTGAGGGGAAGGCAGGGGCTGCCAGAGAAGTACCTGGGAGATGCATGAGGAGGAGGGCATGTCTTTCTCGTCTTTGACTCTCCCCTGGTTCTGTCCCTGCATGACCCCGGACCAAGCAGATGCTTCAGGGACAGTGGCTGAGACAGTGGAGACTAAGCAGAAAGCAGCAACGTACATCCCTTGAAGCAGGGGCCACAGTGGGCAGCAGAAAGGATGGCTCCCACGCAGCTGAGACTGCAAACTTACTGCGCTCACCTTCTCCAGGGTCTGCACAAACTGCTCCACCGGGATGGAGCCGCTCAGCAAAGGCTTCAAAACTTTGCAGTCTGGAATGTCCTCGCTCGCCCGCTTTCTCTTCTTACCACTTGTGGGTGGGGCCGGCCTGGGCGGGGGCTAGAGCAGGAGGAGAACATGGATGTCATCCAGAACCTGGAGAGCAGAGGTCAGTGCAGGCCACACGAGAGCCTGAGGGAATCTCTCCTCCCTGACGGAGGCCCCAGGGCCTGGCCTGTGTCATCCGTGGTGTAAAAGTCAGCAGGCATTTTCCTTCAGGGTCTCTATCAGTGGGGGGGGGGGGGGGGGCATCGGGAGTTCACAGCACAAACAAGCTGATGCTAAACGATCCACACGGCATCAACATCTTATTTGGCAAAGGTATCTTCCCTTTCTCAAGATCCATTTTAATTTTTAATCGATTCAATTCAATATTTTCTAAGTAAATTCTTATAATAATAAACTTCTGGCACTTGCAGGGCTAGCATTAGCAGAGTGGTGAAGGACACTCTTTCTGGCTCTGGAACCTTCAAGAAAATGAAGGTCAGAGAAACTGCCTATAAAATGGTGATAAGAAGAGAATTTTGTGAGGATTAAACAAGACAACGCCTGTGAAGGACCCAGCCCAGCGTCCAGCCCCCTTTAAGCAGCAGCTCTCAGCAGATGATGCAGGGTACAAAGGCAGCCAAGTCCAAATCTGAAAGGAGTCTTTCTAAGGTGGACTGAGCCGAGTGCCCAGACAGCTACAGCACGGGCAGCAAGCTCACCACGACTGGGAGGCACAAAGCGCTGGGCAAAGGCGCCATCTGCCCAGCACGGAGTGGGTTTCCAGGTGCCCAGGCCCTCGGGCCCTGACTGCTTCATGCAGCTGCGATTTGTATTTCCAGGCCTTGTTATATTTCCATATTTCCAGGCCTCGTTCGGGAAGGGGCTGCCCCTGCTCTTTTGAAGTCTCCCCCAGCACCTACCGAGCGCACTGCAGGGTGCTCGGTAAGTGTTAACAACGTGCCCACAGGAGCCCCGGAGTGATGCCGACACAGAGCTGTGAACAGCACTCAGGATGATGTGTGGCCTCATCTCTACGACTAATAGTTTCTCTTCCTTTTTATCCCTCCGAGGCCTGTGGCCAGAGGAGGAAGTAGAAGAATTATACGCAGTGCCCTCTTTGTTTCAAGTCTAATCCCTGAAGTAGTCTGGTCTCTAATTTTTGCTGGTTTGGGAAGCAGCGTCCTGGGGGCTGGTTGGAATGCTGGGACTGGGGCGGGGTTCCCCGTCTGCACAGGCCCCAGAGGCTCCTCCGGGCTTCAGCCCAGCCCTTCCTCCCCTGAGATACCTGAAGAACGTGCTTGTTATCTTTGGTGTGCAGCACAGCCGAGACGGTTGCCAAGGAAATGCCAGGCTTAATCTCCATGGGCACCAGCGAGTCTGCGAGCTGCAGGCAGAGAGGGGGGTTTCAGCCAGACACACTCCAAATCTGGGGGAGGGAGTGCGGCGGCCGTGCTATCCAAAGTTAGGGTTCGGAGGCCACACCGGGCGCAGCTCCACCCTCCATGTGGAGCGCAGGGATGGACGGTGATGCCCAGGGCTCAGCTGACGCCCGAGGCACCGCACAGCGCCGCCAGCCAGGTGAGAAGGCACATCGTCAAGTGTCATGAAGCTGAGCCTTTAGTGATGACCCTTGTTCATTTTATTTTCTTTTGAATTTTTATTTACATCATTACAGTTTACAATGACCAAATCACTTTAAGGAAGAAAGAACTTTTACCGTCTTTTTAAAATAAATTAAAATAAATTTAAAATAAAAAAAATTGAATTTAAAATTAAATAATTTTTAATCAAAAATGTATCACATACATAAATATATATATCTGTCTATCTCAATCTCAATAAAGAAAGGAGGTAAGAGAAGACAGAGAGGAAAAGGGGGTGGTGGTGGGTGAACTGGGCTGAGGAGAGGAAGAGAGCTAACCTGATCCCGAGTTCTGAGATACAGTGTCTCCTGGGGGCTTTTCCTGGAGCCTCCCCAGACTCTCCTGCAGAGGCATCCAGCACAGGCACGTGTCAGCGCATGCTGGGACCCCAGGGTGCTGACCCCTCTGCTGACCCCTTTTGCAAGTCAATCCCCAAATGATGAAATGCCAACACCCTGCCACGGCTCGTCATCGGAACCAACACAACCTCATCCCCATCTCTCAGATGGCTTCCAGACGACTCGAACACTCTTTTATAGTAGCTCTCAGAAACCTCTTAGGGCTTCTCCTTACTCAGAATACATACCAAGTGCTGACTTTTCGTGCAGTCTCTGCCTTCGTCCTCATCGCCTCTCCAGGTGATAGTGTCAGGAAGGACGGACAAGGATGGCAGCATTTGGATTGAATGAGCTCTCTAATTCCTGGGAGCTTGGCTTCTCCCAACAAGGGGATACAGAGCTTTTCCCTGGGGGCCATCCTTCTCCCTAACACCCGAGCTGAAGCGCACCCTCTCTCCTGTGCAACTTCAGAGCCCCCCCCCCCCCAGCTACTGGCAGTGACGCGTGATCTCAAGAGGAGCCTAACACTCGGGTTTGGTTGACTCTTGTTCTTACACACATGTAGACCTCGACCTACCCAAGCCTCCTTTACACAAAAACAAAAGTAAATAAATATGTAAGAAACCATTTACGAAACATGAAGATCAATAACAAATGGGTGGAGGAAGCAGCTCAGGATATTTAAAAGGACTGGTAAATGGAATGTGAAGACTGATTCACGAATAAGAAAACACATGGAATAAGCATGGAATGTTCCCACTGAGGAGATGTCAGTATGCTCCAGTCTCCTGGCAATGCCCATCCATGAATATTCTTTTCCTTCCTACACTGCAATTATTCCCATCACAGGTCAGGTTCCTGGCAGAACTTTAAAGTCAAAGAATTGGCTTGGGAGGTCTGGGGACGGCATTACGGGAGGCAAGCAGGTGAGCGTCTCTCCCTGAGCGGTCCTGTGAATGAATTCAGTTTCTAAGGAGACCCTCTGAAGCGGCAGCCCTGCTACAGGGAAGTCTACCCAGAGCCCACAACAACCACAACTCAGCCCAGACAGCCCTGGGAGGAGGCAGCCACTCGCCACCGCGGAAACAGCATTTTCCTATTAGAACAGGCCCACGGAGACCGACATATCAGATCTCGCTCTTTGCACTTATGAGGACAAAGGAGGAGGATGTGTAAGGAAGCTGCAGGGGACATACTTTCATCCGGGGGGGAAGTAAGCATCCTTTAGAAGTAGCAGAATCTAAAGGACAGCAACAGATTTTATAACCCTTTCATCTGCCACGTGCATTTCCTAGGAAAACCAGATGGTACTTTAATTCTGTCTTTACATTCTACACATGGACAAAGATTTACGTAAAAGAATGTTTCTGAAAGTGTCATTTATAATACAGAAAAGCAGAAATAATGTCCACCAATAAAGGGACAGTTAAATTATGATACATTTATGACAGAGCATTATACAGCCATTAAGATGCTTTTAAAATATCTTTAATCATGTAATTATTTACTGTTACAAGACTAAGACAGTAGATGAGGTATGACCAACTTCAGACACCGTGCAGACCAGGCAAACACACAAAAATCTGAACAGCAGTTATCTCTGATATTAGGAATAGGACTGATTTTGTTGTCTTTATCCCTTTTTTTCTATTTTCCCAATTTTCTACAATGAATAAATATACTTTTAATTGAAAAGTGAATCTTACGGTAGAGCCATAAAAATAGAAGCAGAGAAGTCAGGGGCCTTAAGCACACAAGAGGCTGTCGGGAGCGCTGGCTTTCGGTGCAGGGCAGGGACATCGAGGTCACCATGATTGTCCTAATAATCTGCCTTTTCCCTTTTCACTTTCATCCTCTCACGAATGTTCACTGGAATTTTCTAGAGGCTATGTGACATGTATTATCACAACAGACTGAAAGCAAAAGGAGACAGGAGAGTCTAACTGTCTTCCACAGGCAGATATTAAAGAGATTTGCAAATATAAAACAGGGCCCCTCTTCTCATTATCTTCTTTATTTTAGAAACATTTTTCATAAAAGATATTTTAGTTATGTTAACATCTAACAAGTTTATATTATTTAAAAATGAATTAATGTATCTTTTTTTTTTTTTGCTGAGGAAGATTCACCCTGAGCTAACATCTGTGCCAGTCTTCCTCTATTTTGTGTGTAGGATGCCACCACAGCATGGCCGCTGATGAGTGGTGTAGGTCTGCACCTGGGAACTGAACCTGGGCCGCAGAATCAGACATGCCAAACTTAACTACTAGTCTGTGGGGCCAGCCCCAATAAATATTTTTAAAATGTCTTAGTTTTACTTTCTAATATAGCAAATATCAAAAGATATAACCCACATAAACAAAAGTTCTTTGGAATTCTAATTTTCAAGAAGTCTTGAGACCAAAAAGTTTGAGGACATGTTCAAGCTGTATTAAGAGGCAAAAGGAAGCCAGAAGTAGCTTCCTGCAGAGTTTTCTATGCTGTCACTGTGGGAGCTGGGCCATCTGACTCTTGCTGCCTTACCCGCTGACCAGTCACTCATGCACAATATGCCCCAACTGTCCACACGTACAATACGCATACTAATGGTAATCCAGTTTAACATTTCTTAGTTTTGGTTACTCTTATCTCTTCCATCTATCTCTGAATTTGGTGAAACTTGACCCTTGCTCATAAATGAGGTCCAGGAAGGATGAGAAAATCCACAACCCTAAAGTGGTTACGGACAGAGCATCAGCATTTCTGTTCTCCAAGGCCGTGGCCTCCTGGACCACACACTACGTGTTAATATAGGCAGCAGTCCAGCAGTCCTGATGTTAACAGCTATTACTTCATTACTTGAAAAATGAGAAGGCTCTGAAAACCCCACCTGTCTTCCCAGTTACTTGCTTAAGGGTCTGTGTTCTTTGGTTCATCCATATTTGACACAAACCCAAAAGAAAGCCACCTCTGAGACGTTCTTCTTCCAGAGACTCAAGTGGAAAACCCAAGTTTAACCATGAGAAAGAGAATGGCTCACCTCGGGCATGATTTCAATCTTTTCAAACAGACGCTTGAAGGGTAAGGCGAGGACCTCGGCCCGCCGATAGGACATGGCAGGCGGCTGGCAGTCAATCATCAGGTCCATCCTGTGGGACTGCGCTGGAGGTGGCTGGGTGTACTGCTCAGGACAGACCACGTGGAGGGGCTGAGGAGCCAAGAGGACAGGGACAGGGTGAAGAGAGAAGGAAGAAACGAGAGGAGCCTCTTCCAAAGGCAGCCCATTCCTTATCTAACTTTATCTTCATGGACGCTCAGGCTCACCACGTTCAGGCCATTTTGAACTCTCATCCTTTCAAATCCAAGTAACCAGTGGGAGCAGAGATGAGCGCAGTGGGAGAAAGAAGAATAAAAATTTCAGGACAAACCCCTGAACTGCCAGCCATGTTGACGAGCAAGGGATTTACTGCCTCAGTTTGCATTTGTTTTTATTTTTTCAGTATATTTAAGTCACTTTGATGGTGACTTCTGGGGGTCTACACCCCACTGGTCTCTAAGCCCCCTGAGGGCACAGTCGTCTTGCCACACCATCATCGACTGCTACAGCTACTGGCTGATTAGCAGGAACTGACTTTTTGTGCTAGTTTGGTTTTCTGGGGTTGGGTTTTTTCTGGTATCTATCTCTCTGCAGGTCCACTGGTGTTACAGTGGATGGTGGTTAGGTCACATACTCAAGTGTGTATGACAGACTGAATCAGACAGAATTGTTTTTGCAAAAAGTCGCTTTTTGTTATCTTCAGAGAAAAAAATTAGTAAACCAATGTCTACTTTCGACAAACACCATCCAATTGCACACTGCTCCTGGCAGCCCACAGGGTCATTGTATTGTCACTGCTCTTGAGTTTGGAGCAAGCCTCGAGTCCCTGGAAGCATTTCCAACAGCACTTGTTCTTTAGGGCTAATTCCTCTCTTCTGCAAACTGCCTTTGTTCTTCTTCCTGGCCCAGATAGTATCTTATAACTGTCTCAGAGCCATCCCACGCTGCAGTCACAGCCTGAAGACGTCCCCCAGGTTTTCCTCTCCTATAGTGGGGACCAGGTGGCCTCCAGTTTCCAATATTAGCACACAAGCCAGGGGCCTGAGGAGTACACTGCGGGTGTAGGGACTGAGGTGTGAAGTTATTAGTAATGAAAACAAGCTCTTAATGGTCTCTTTCAGCATGTTGATGTGTACACAGTGGGGTATCAGATCACCCCACTAGGCCGACAGTTGGTTAACTGCTCTAATCGTGTCTAGAAAAAACCCACATTCTTTCTTCGCAGGGCCAGCAAGCGTGTGAGCCCCACAATCCACTATTGCTACAGTCCTGAGGTTCTCCAGCTTTCTCTGTTTCTAGTGACCCTTCCTTAGAGTTCTGTGTCAGCACCTCTCATCCTGAGGTCAAAGGTTGTGTGAAGAGGAAGCGAACTTCTGATCCAGGCCAAGAAATGAAGGGAGCTAATCACCCCACGCTAAACGGCTAGGTGAAGGGACAAGAAGCGTAGGGCACCTCGGCGCTCACGTAAGGTCCTGGAAACACTGAGGGGATGGGAAATCAAACTCTTCCTCGGGCCTGTGCTCAGCTTCTTCCTTGCCAATTCCCATCAGCCTCCCCCACCCCTGAGTGCCACAACACACGCCACCCGAGTGGTAATGCGCCCAGGGCAGTGGTTTTTATTGCCTGCGTTCCCTCCACATTCTCCTTCTGTGCAGACATGCTTCCTTTTCCTACCACTTTAGCCCAAGGGCATCTTCCCGTTATCTATGGCAGAAAATGCAAAATGAAAAATAAACTAACAAACAAAAGCAAACCCAAACAAATCTCTAACAAAAGGCAAAACGACAGTTTGTGGGACTAACCCACACGTGCAATAAGGGCCCAATACATGTGTCAGCTAAGTTCAACTGTCTTTCAGCTTGATGAATATATTTCTAGAATGACTTTTTTTGGGGGTGGTGGTGGGGCAATTTGCTTTTAATTGGACACAGATGGTCCTCATCAAAAATAATAGACTGTTTATGCTTTCTTTTCCTTCCACTTTTGATTTCTTTAGAATGGAAACTTCTTTCACTACTTTGAAGACTAAAGGGTAACCAGCACACGTCCCAGTACTCTGCAGATGCTTGAGAAGTAAGGACAAGAAATGAAGCTAGATACCCCCCTCACACCACAGACACACAAACACACAGAGGGGACAGGACCACGGAAGACACGAGCGTTTCCCTTCTTACCTGTACTTCTTTAAGCAGCTTTGACACCTGGATGAAATTCAGTCGTGTATCAATGGGGCAGTATATGCATTTCATGGCCAACGGCTGGTAGGGAGCCAGAGCTTCCAGGTATGAGAAGTCAGGTTCTAAGGAGAGCACAAAAAAGAAAATTTAAAATGTCGGCAACAGAGAGCTGCCAAGCGAGGTGGTGGCTGGTGTGGTCAAGGCCAAGCAGATGGCTGGCAGGGCTGGGAGGGTGAGCCAGTGAGTGAGTGCACTGAGGGTGACGGGAGCCAGGTTCCCTATCGTTGGAGAGATGAGTTAGTTACAGTAAGGACAGGGAGAGGCTGGAATGAATGCTAAGGATGGATGTGGAGTTGGAGGTCTGGGTGTGAGCTCGAGGTTTAACATAGAGAGAAGGATGAGATTGGATATGTAAATAAATGAGGGAGAAGGGAAAGCTCTTCTTTGCAACAAAATGCTAACCAATAAGAAATGTAAAAGAAATGATGAAATTAAGAAAATGTATCGCCATTTGGCAACTGTCACAGTAATACTTTATTTAGACCAGAATTATCAATAGATGCTAAAAACATTAGATAAAAATTTGGGGAAGATTGGATATGTACATAGTCTCAAAGTGTCCCCCCCACAAGATACTGATTCAATACAAAGACAGTGGCTTCCGTCAGTGTGGAGAAAGCTGGGGGAGACACTCGAATCAAGCGCTCAACGTTAACACCCGGTATGAGGCAAATCACATGTCACCTGTGTGACAGCATGCACCGAGAAGAAAGAAAAGGACCTTGAGCCCATGTCAACAAAATGCTTCTGCTGAGACTGTTGTACTCCTCTCAGCAAAGCCCAGCACATCACGACCGGGAACCATCCTCGCCGTGACGGCCGGTCTGTTCTCTCAAGAGCCCTCACTGGGGCCTACTTGGCTGGGATTGTTTTCTCCACTGGAGGATGCTGCCCACCTTGAGCCAAAAGAGCTGGCTCACTGCTGGTGTAGAAAACAATACTTAGACTCCCAGCACGGTCTGTGCCCTCACGTGGTCACCAGCTTCTCACAGCCCTCAGGCTGACACTCACCTGTCACACTAACTTATCCGGTGTCTTCAGGATCACTGAGAGAACTTCCAGATTTTTAAATTACCACCCCTCCAGTGGATCCTGTTTCCCTAAGAAGAACACCCAGAAGCCCCCAAGTGAGGCCAGCCCGAGCCGCCTGGGAGGGCTAACTGACTCCTTTTGTACGTGTCCTGTGAGAGCCATAGTTCTCACAGCTGTTGTAATACAATCGGAAAAAGTGGTCCCAAACTTACCTCTGACACTAGCAGACATCATAAATGACATGACTTGTGCTCTGGAAGCCCAATAAACCAGTTTAAATTTAAATTCATTACCCAGATCTGTCCATGGACAATTACACAGCCCCCAATTTCTTCTTAGCTGGCTAAAGGAAAATTTATGTCATAGTGAACACTTGTTACTGTACCTATGTAAATACTGGGCCCACTGTCACATCAGAGTCAACATCTCCTCAGAAAGAACAGGAGAGACCACCCTTAGTCCTACTACAGGCAATGTTCTCTGGACGATCTCCTGCTTAGCAAAACTTGGCAATGGTGAGGTTCTGGGTATCATGCATTGTCTTGTGGCCGAATTTCCTCTGCTTTTGCCCAAAAGGGGGCCTGGGAAAGAGAAGAGCAGCCCCTGACAGATGCTTTTCTGAGCTCTCCTGGCACTTTGTTCTAGGCCTTGGTGTTAGTAAGAGCTGGCCTGGTGCTCATGGCTAGGCCATGGTGTTCTCCTGTTGGATATAAACAATTTCCCAGAACACCAACATCAGATAAGGCCACTCACTGACCATGATGGATCAAGACTAAAACAAGACCCCTCTGTAATCATGCCTGAACACAAAACCACAACACTGTCCAAACCACAAAACAAGCAAACATTACCCTATCCTGGCTCTGTTCTTCCTGCCTTCTAGATAAGAATGATAAAGATACCTAAAGGCCCAGTGGCCTAGTGGTTTAATTTGGTGTACTCCACTTCGGCAGCCCGGGTTCAGTTCTCAGGCTACCTACACCACTTGTCTGTCAGTGGCCATGCTGTGGTGGTGGCTGACAAAAAAAAGAGGAAGATGGCAGTGGATGTTAGCTTAGGGTGAATATTGCTTAGCAAAAAAAAAAGAAAAAGAAAAAAAAGCTACCCACTCATAGACCTATTCTTGCTCCCTGCCCGTTCTCGATCCAGAGCAACGTCCCATATCTGTGGACCCACCTCAAAATCACCAAGCAGGAGCCCAAATCCACAAGAAGTTCTTTCTAACCTGCTCTGAGATGCCTCACGCTTCCCCATGGTGTGCGTTCTCCCTCACTGCACTGAGTCAATAAACCCAACTTTGTTCCACCGCTGGTTGTTCCTGGTGGCCTCTGGCTGGAGGGCGCCGGTACTCCTCACAAGCAGGCTGAGCAGAGGGAAAGGCCCCAGTGTTCCTGACCCTGAACTTTGGGCATAACTAGGCTCTACTCCATTCCTTGAGTCTTAAAAGTAATTAGACAACTCTAAGAAGTTAACTGATACTTTCTCAATAGCCTTTATGTGCCAGGCACTGTACGAAGTGCTTTCTTATGTCGCTAAATGCACAGAGCTGTCCAAGGAGGAGCCGTTAATTATCCCACTTTCCCATGAGGAAAGTGAGGCTCAGAGAGGTGAGTAACTTCACTTAGGTTACAGGAAATTGGACCAGATTTTAGATCAAGGTTTTCCACTTCATTGCCCATAAGGTTGCCAAACCCCAAGGCTGAATGAAGACCTTAAATTGATAAAATAATACAGTGATTCAGTAAAACCCCTCCTTAACCTCCTTAAAGGATCTGTTTTACTCTGAGGGGTTCATGTCCAGAAGAAAAGCTGCAAGCCAGAGTAAACTACAACCGAAGGAGAAAGATCCATCTCAGTAAATAATTCCTGAAGGGGGTGAACAAGACCGGTACTAGCATCATCGCGGTTCTTGCAAGAGCTTGCAAACCCTATCCAAAGCAGCTCGGCAGAGACCTGCCTCAGGGAAAGCTACAGGATCAGCTGTAAAAGCTTTCTCCAGTACTCAGTTGTCTCTCGGCACATTTTGCTTTCCTCTCTTAACCTTGTGGTTTCTTTATCCTTTGGTATTTACGATAGAAGAGGGTTCACATTCATGCCTTCCTGTCAGATTCTTCCCTGGGTCTCCACCTGGTCAGTGCATTCGGGGAAGGTCCCGGTGGAAGGGGCAGGGTTCTGTTTGTGTGTTTACATACCTGTGAATATGACAGTGTTGAGACTAGATTTTCCCCAGAGCTCCATGAAATGAACCACGTCCCCAAACCGGAGGGAAGGGTGCCCAGTGAACACCACACACGGCTGCCTGAAGTCGTTGCTGAAGTCTCCATGGATGCTGGGGTAGTGCCTCAGCTTGTTGGTCTGAATGAGCTAGAACACACGTGAAAAGCACACAAAGAGATGTGAGCCCGCCTAGGCGGAAGGAGGATCACAGCACGGGAGGGGGAGCAGAACGAAATTAAAAATACAGACAAATCTTACTAAAATTAGACAAAGATCCCGATTTTTTACCTACAATGTGACTTACTCAACAGATGGGCCCTTTGGTGACATGTTAACACACTTAATGGAAACTTTTCTTCAGGTTGTCAGGGCCTGATTTCATTTAACTCTTTCTTTATAGCTTCCTGACACTCTGAGCCCGGGCCCCAGAAATCTCTAGTATCGGTCCTTGTTTGAGGTGTAAGTAACTTTGCCAAAATGTGTGAATCACCAAGTTCTGTCAACAATAAACACCTCACACAAGAAAAATTGTTTACTAGCACAAGACCTCCTCTTAAGAAGGTGTAGCTGTGTTCAGTTACTGTGGCAACTTAGTAAAGACAGAGAACAAACTGGCTTTCAGAAATTTGGGAACTGTGATGCCCTCATGACAGAGAGCTGTAGTAAGAAGCAGGCCATGCACAGCCTCATGCCTCTCAAAAGTGTTTGTTTTGAACCAAAAAGGTCTCCTTCCAGCAGAACACTTGATAATACTCTCTCAGCCTCAGGCCCGACCCAAGGCAACATCACATACAGTCACAACCACTGAGGGCATTTTCTGACACTGCTCACAAGTTCTGCCTGCTGCCTTGGCCCCGCCCTCACCTTCCCACTCTAGCACCAAAAGGTCAGGCGACAAACATCCAGACTTCAGAGACCCCAAATACAACTAGGCCAAAGGGAGTATTGCCCTGAGATGCTGTTTGATAGATAAAGAAACAGTGTGTGATATGGCTCAATCCTGAAGTAACCCATAATACGAGGGAGCCCAGTCAACAACTCCAAGTCCAACTCAAGTCACCCAATAGTGAGAATGGAGCCAGAATAGGGCAGTCCCCAAATGCAAGCCAAACTCTTCACTTTGAACATTTAATCTTTAATTCAGGAAGACTGTTTTTATTAGCAACATTGCAAATACTACTCTGGAGATCTTAATCAGGTGTCACATGCTTAGATGGGATATGAATAGTAAAGATGGAACAAACATTGACTTCCCACTTTCCTTCCAAGTTATATACAAATAAACTGACCTTCTTTTATAATCTATCTGGCCCAAATCATCACTTGCCCCAGTTAAATGGGTTAGCAGCTGTCTCAAAGGCTAAGGCTACTGTATGCACAGATGTCAGGGAGATGAATGGGGTTCTAAGAAGAGCAGCAGGTCTCTGCACACAACTGAAGTCACTTTTTAGGCATTACCTACAGTTCCTGCAGTTCTCCTGATCAATGCATAGAAACTAAGATAAGGTCCTCTCTCTTTCTGCCAATTGGACCTACCTCTCCACCTGGCTTATGACACTTGACCATCCAGAATTACCTCTGCACTGATGTAAGGTTCAAACTGTATAGGCAATGAAGCTGTAGGACAGGAATTCCCTAAAGTAATTTTTCATCAGTTCTAAGGGCAGAACCGTATTTTCTCATGGGAACTGGTCACAATACCAAGCATCAACTCCATAATGCCCTAATCTTGACAAGTGCAGTTCAGGAACCCTGATTATACAACTGCGGTCTTTTCACATTCCTAACTGTAAATGGGACAAAGGTCATCCATGGCATATGTGTGTTACCGTAAGAATGCGGTACGACTCTTAGAAAAGAAGTTCTAAAGAAAGCCTAATTGTTACTAGGGGAGAGGAAAAGAGACTTTCAGTGGCAAAGTCCACCACAAAATATGTTTTGCTACACTTACTTCTGTGACATTATTACATTTCTAGTCTGAATTTCACTGTGGCAATGACAGAGCTTGCAAAAACCTTGGCTGCTGTAACAGAGCGTGAGGACTGAAAAAACAACTTTCTCAAAGCATTCCACTTGACATTGTGGTTCATAAAAGACCTGTCCTTTGGATTAAGAAGACAGCAGTCAAATTTAAAATAATTAGCAGTACATTTGTTGCAATTTACTCTATGAGTCAAATAGTTAACTGTAAAACAAATAAATCAACCAAATCCTAGACATATGTATCAGCACAGAAATCCCTAGCTTGGTGACATTTTAATAAACACTTCCATATTCCTATATACACATCAAGTAACAGCACTGCCAGCTCCTCAGAAATCCCCCTTTGTCCCCTTCCAATTACTACTGCCCCCACCCCTACCTCCAGGATAATCACTATCCTGGCTTCCGATACCACAGACTAGTTTTGTGTGTTTTTGAACTTTTATATAAATAAAATCACACCGTATCTACTCTCTTATCTGGCTTCTTTCAATCACGTTATATTTGTGAAATTTATCTACACTGTTGCATGCAATCAGAGTTCCTGTTCTCATTGATGTATGGTATTCCATGGTGCGAATATACCACGATATCCATTAAACTGTCATGGGCATTTGGGCACACTTCAGCACCATTACCAAGAATGCTCTGAAGATTTTTGTGCGAGTCTTGTGGTGACATACCTACACATTTCTGTTTGGTGCAGACTTCAGGAACAATACTGCTGAGGCAGAGAGTATGTTATATGTTCAGCTTTAGCAGCTACTGCCAGTTTCCTCAAGTGGTTATGTCAATTTAAACATCCTTTTTTTGGTTTTAATATAACAAAAAATTCAGACTAATGCAATTGTCTGATAGTAAGAGAATGGTCAAAAATACCTTAATATGTTCATATGATAGCTATGGAATATTAGGCAGCAATATAATGATACGAGGCACACAGAAAAATGTCCATGATACACTGTTTGGTGCAAAAAACAATGCAAACAAAACTGGGTATGTGGCTATATAAAAACACTCATCAGTTCTGTGAGGGAAGGGGGATTTTTCTCATGTTTTAAATTGAAGCATAATTGACATATAACATTATATTAGTTTCAGGTGTATTGCATGATTCGATATTTGTATATACTGCAAAATGATCACCACAATAAGTCTAGTTAACGTCTCTCACTACACAGTTACAAAATTTATTTTTCTTGTGATAAGAACTTTTAAGATCTAGTCTCTTAGCAACTTTCAAATAGGCAATACATTATATCTCTATGATTTATTTATTTTATAACTAGAAGTTTGTACCTTTTGACTCTATTTTCTAAACTGAAATGTTATTATTTTCATCATTAAAATTTACCTCTATGATCAACACAACTAACTGGAAAGAAGACCTTGACAATGAATAAATCTGTTATGCAAAAGAGCTAGTAGTCGATATTAGATAAAACTGCTCCGCCAGTCAACAGAAAGATATTAGATAAAATCTCTCAGCAGTCAGTAGAACAGTGGTAGGTCATGAACTGTACAAACGCACTGGTAATATAATGTGTTAATAAGAGAAAGTAACAAATGTTGAGTTAGAGTACTTCACTGTCATCTCACGTGGGAAACAAAGGGCTATGCGAATTTACATAAGGAATTTTTTTATCTGGTGACCTGCTATCTCCAACCCCATCCATTTATCAACATTTCTTTCTTGCTCTGACCCAATAATTCCATTTTCTTACCTCTGCATGGGGAAAAGGTGGTTCTGGGAGATACACCTTAGTCTGTTTGTTGTGACAAAGCCTTTTAAAGAGGAAGAACAACCAGCATGTTAGGCAGGGCACACATGGTCACTTGCTGCCACCTAGTGGTAGCAGTACAGATACTAAATCCTAAAGTTTATTAAGATTTTCCTGCCAGAGAATCTCACTGTGAATGAAAACCAGCATCTACAGAGTATTCAGGATTTAAGTCTCCTGTAAGCATTTTTTTTAACCTTTAAAACTCCTCAATACATTTTTTTCTTAAAAAATAATCTTGTTATTTTGGAGTAATTTTAGGCTTACAGAAAAGTTGCAAAGACAGTACAGAGTTCCTGTGTACCCTTCAGCCAGTGTCCCCTAATGTTAACATCTTATATAGCCGTGATACTAAGAAACTAACATAAGTACATTACAACTGATTAAATTTCAGACTTTAGTTGGATTTCACCAGTTTTTCCACTAAGGTCCTTTTTCTGTTCCAGGATCCAATCCAGGCTACCATATTGCTTTAGCTGTGATCAATTTTGAGGAGAAAGTGATAGCCCTTCCTCAGAGACACAACTTTCTGTTTTGCACGCCCACTAAGCAGCACTGGTAACTCAATTGGAGAGCAACTACCTGTCTCAATCTAGACTCTGTGGATGTCTTAGGTAGTCTATGTTTTAAAACACATCACTTTATATCCATTTTGGAGGAAGATGTAAATATGGAAGATATTTATGGAGGGTTACTTTACAGTATCTAAACAGACACTAGTACTGTCTTTATTTCAAACTCAGGTGGAGAGACAAATATAATTTAAAAGTTATAATATAATTTAAAAGTTATTTAGATTGTTGCAAAGGATATTATGCTACATTAATTAGCATCAATATATAAAACTAAAATACTTGTCAAAAAAATCAAAAACCTAACTGCAATGTAGTATCCTGGACTGGATCCTGGAATAGGAAACACATTAGTAGAAGAGCTAGCGCAATCTGAATGAGACTGGAGCTCAGCTAACAAAGTGCTGACGTTCATTTCTTAGTTTTGACATTCGCGTACGGCCACGTAGATGTTAACACTGGGGAAACTAAGTGGAAGTATATGGGAGCTCTCTGTGGCATCTCTGTAACTTTTCTGTAAACCTAAAATTATTCCAAGGTAACGATTTTTTTAAAAAACAAAATCAAAGACAAAATTCAGAAAGTACCAAAATGGGAAAAAATGTCTGCAGAAATACAACAGAGCTGGGTTCAAATACACAAGAAAAGTATAACACTTCTAATAAGTAAATGGGCAAAAAGGGAACAATTTACAGAAGACATAAAGATCTTTCTGGAAAGCAATCTAGATTTGTATAATGAACATTAAAACATATTTATACCCTTTGTTCCAGTAATTCCACTTTCAGTAATTACCTAAAGCAAAAGCTGTAGTCATATATACAAAGAATGATATTAATTGAAGATTGCTAAAAGGAGAAAAATTGGGAAAAGCCTGTCCGTCCAATAATAAGATAACAGTTAAATAAATTACACCATACACAAATAATGTACAAATGATGTAATAATGCAGTCATGCAAAAGTTATATTCTCAAAGATTTCATAATGCTCTAATCTAATGTTAACATTTTTAAAAGCAGGATCCAAAATCAAATATTCAGTATGAGCCCTACATGGAAAGAAGAAATCATTAGAATGCTGACAGTGACATCATTTCTGGACAGAGGGCTTATGGGTTCAGTTTTCTTACTGTTTTCTGTAAGTTTTTTTTTTTTTTTATAGTAAACATGTATTATACATATATTAGAAACTAACAGATATCAAATAATGGAAACACCAAAACAACCCACTCTCATTTTAGCAGTCCTGAATTCTATCCGATCAGATATTCTGACGATAAGAATAGTGTGTAATGGGTGAAGAGTGGACTTGAAGAGCACACACAAGCTAGGACACCATCCAAAGGGGCCCACAGGGCCGGGCCCGGGAATTTGCTTTCTCAATATTCTTACTGAGGATCTGGACGAAGAAACTCAGAACATGCTGATTAAATGTGCACATTATACTTAAGGTGGACTACTAATTATTCAAGATTACTTTCCTATGTTGGGGGGGAAAAGACCCAATGCAAAGGATAAAATTCAGTGGGTACCAATTAAAGTGACAGTTCTACAGACAAACATAAATAATATGCATATGGGATGGACAAGCCTGTCTGAATCTAAATACAGTTATGTGCATAACGATGTTTTGGTCAACGACGGACCACATACACGATGGTGGTCCCATAAGATTAGTACCATACGGCTTAGGTGTGTGGTAGGCTATACCATCTAGGCTTGTGTAAATACACTCTACGATGTTCACACAATGACGAAATTGCCTAATCATGCATTTGTCCGAATGTGTCCCCATCGTTAAGCGACTCATGATTGTACAGAAAAAAAAAAATCTTGACCACAATTCAAAGGGGAAGAAAAAATGTCCTTAAAAAAGTGTGCGGGGGGGCAACATATGGGATATGTTATGACAGAATGATGTACAAATTCCCTTTACATCCTAATTAGAAACTTAGTAGAATGTTGTGTCCATTAGGCTCCCACACCACGGAAAGGGATTAAACACACCCTATACGGGTGTGCGCCGGCCCCATTCTAAGGCTTGATTAGGTCTACTGTAAAAGTTAGTCTCTTTTCCCCATCCCTCCCTTTCTTTGGCCAGGTGAGTTAGAGTCAAACATGCACCTAAATAATCCTAAAAAGGTTCATGGACTTCATATTGTGTAATAATTTACCCGCCCTAGGATTTGATCAAACAATTTCCTGCTATGATACAACAATTTTGTCAAATATCATGCCATTGAAACGAGAAAAATAATATAGTTTTTCCTATCAGATTTGGTATTATAAACGTTAGACAATGTGAGCTTGTGCTTTAAAATTTGTTTAGCTTTTAGAATACAACTTAGCTTTGTAACAGGCAGAGAGGACAGCATGTGAGAAGATAAATGTAAACATTTTTGTTACTGATTTTGAAAGTGCTAGCTAAGTTAAGTCTTTATCTTTCCTCCTTTCCTCCTTCATAACTATTCTTCTCAACTCTAGCAATATAACTGATTTGGCTTTCATTAATACAATCTTTATCTCACAGACACAGAAAAACAACAAAATGAAAGTTTCATAGTAATGTCAGAAAAAAACAGGATCATTTCTATTCTAACTGCTTGAATGTGCTGAATCAGACAGAATTTGTAGAGAAAAACACAGACATACCACTCAGCAAAAATCTGAGAAAACTCAAGTGAACTGTTAGCCACAGGGGAGATGAAGTAGAAAGGGATGTTGGAGAGGCCGGCCGAGTCGATGTATTGATACAGGCATTCCAAGAGGTCGTAGATCACTCCAGAAGGGTAGCAGGGGACCAACACGTTCCCTCCATTCCGGACTGTCAGCGCTAGAAAAGTTAAAGCCAGAAGGAAAACAAGAGTATCAAAAGAACAGTTTTATAAAGGTAGAGTGGAACTTTTAAAATAATATTTGGATTTCTTTCATTTCCCTACTTCTGTTTGTACTGTTCACTTCACCTGCTTCTTTTGAACAACAGCATCAGAGTGGGAGAATCCAGAGGCTGACAATCGGCTGAGTTTTTAATTGATGTCTCAGTTCCTGGGAATAGGGTGTGCCATTAAGGGTGTGGGTTTCAAAGGTTACCAATGGCAGCCAGGGTCAGGACAGACCCTCTAAGCTCCTTCTCCTTTTAGTTCCTGCTCAAAACTTTGCTGGGTCTGTCTGTGTGAAGTCTCTGACCATTGCTGAATGACCTATAAGGAAACAGGCCAAGTTTTTTTAAGAGTGGCACCTGAGCTAACATTTGTTGCCAATCTTTCTTTTTTTTTCTCTTCCTCTTCTCTCCAAAGCCCCGCAGTAGATAGTTGTATATTCCAGTTGTAGGCCCTTCTGGTTGTGCTATGTGGGACGCCACCTCAGCATGGCTTGATGAGTGGTGCCATGTTTGTGCCCAGGATCCAAACCAGCGAGACCCTGGGCCACCTAAGTGGAACACTAGAACTTAACCACTCAGCCACGGGGCCAGCCCTGGCCAAGTTTTTCCATTTGACTCAGTTTAGTGGCATTTTCTTTCATTAAAGTTTTGTCTGTAAGAAAATCCTCCATATTTTAAATACTCAAAATAAATGATCAAACGAGGAATTACATATATAAGTTTAGTCATATTAGAAGTTATAACTGGCTTATAAAAAAAAATCTGAGTGCCCCCTCAAGTTTATTTTTTGTATGGTTTTTGAAACAAACTGAAACAAGCAGCTTTTGGGTATACAACTTGAAATCTCTAATGCCTTTTATCCTCCTCTGTTCCAAACTCTGACATCCAGGTTCACCTAGATGCTGTACTGTAAGTGAGCATAAGTGAGGCCATCTTGTTATGCTTCAGCCCCTCCTCTGTGTGACTACTGACTGCTCTGCACATACTCTGAAAAATTCAGATGCTCTCCTAATTTATGGTTTCATACTTACGTATGTACTCCCCGATAGCTTGATAATTTAAAACTTTGTTCTATGAGTTTCTCTCCAGAACAGACTGACCATAGGCAGGAAACACACCTACAAGGTATCCACCACAGCGGATAGAAGAATGGAACAATAAAAGACCCTGGAGTCTGTCATGCCTGGAGAAAACCCCCTCCTTACTGCCCGTTTTCCCTATACAACTGCCCCAAGATTCTGCAATCCTTGAAGATGGGTTTTTGAGACATTAGTCACCCGTCTTCCACTTTGCTGGCTATCTAATTAAACTTCCTTTCTTGACCTCTAACTTGTGATTAACTGGCTCAGATCTCGGCAGGCAGAGGGAGCCCACTGCTCGGTATCATACTTCGAGTACCGGCTGACTCACTATCACCAGGGTGCGGTACTGTGGAAAAAGACAAAACCAGTGGTGAGGGCTCACGAGGTCTGGCGCTAGTCCTGCCTTCGCCACAAGCTACCGGGCCTCAGGTGAGCCTCTGCAACCCGGCCGGCCTCAGCTGCTTTACTGGTTATATGAGAGGAATGAACTACATGAGTGGGTTTCAAGCTTTAGTTTGAGTGAAAATTGCCAGGGAGCGTGCTGAAAACACAGCTTTGCTTCTGGGCCTCTCCCCTCTCCAGAGTCTGACTTACTAGGTCTGTGGTAAGGCCCTCAAATTACCACTTTTAATAAGTGGCCTCGCTGATCTTGAGGCAAGTAGTTAGTGGACCTCAGTTTGAGAAACAGTGGCTTAGATGTGAGGTCCCTTTCAGACCTAAAGTTCTTTGAGTCTAAGATTCTAGATTATAAACAAACATACAAACAAAAGATTCCATTTGAGACTAGTCCAATAATTTTTCCAGGGTAAGAATAAATTACCTTGGGCTTAATAACAGCAAAGAACAAAAAAAGCTGATGACTATCGGCATGGCCAAGTGAAATTTCAAAGGAGAGTGCTTTCTGTGTAAACGTAAGATGACGACTGTTTCTCTTCCCCAGAGCAGAGGTAATGTCACTTACACTTGCCAGGGGTGCAGGGTCTGAGCTCACTAACTCCTGTTTGGTAACCGTTCTCAACTGAATGTTTGCGTTCCCCCCCAAATTTACATGTTGAAGCCCTAACTCCCTATGTGATGGTATCAGGAGATGGGGCCTTTGGGAGGTAGCTAGATTTAGATGAAGGTGGAGCCCCCATGACGGGATTAGCGCCCTCAGAAGAAGAGGAAGAGACACCAGAGCTGCTTCTCTCCACTATGTGAGGATACAACAAGAAGGCGGCCATTTCTAAGCCAGGAAGAGGGTCCTCACCTGGACAAGCTCATCTCAGACTTGTCAGCCTCCTGAACTGTGAGAATAAATGTCTGTCGTTTAAGCCACCCAGTTTATGGTATTTTGTTATAGCAGCCCAAACTAAGACAGTAACCAACCTACACGATTCTAAAAGAAAGGCAGGATTTTTAGATTTTTATTGACAATTACATCCAAAGAAAAATAAATTTCTTCCAGGTAGGAAACACCCCACAAGTTTCTGAATTTAGTCTTCCCTCAAAAGAAGAAAAAAATAACATCAACCAATTATTACTGGGGGAAAAATACAGCTCTTCAGGGTATCACTGTTGTGAATTCAAAGTATACAGTCTTTTCTGTGCTATTATTTGCAAAGCAAAGACGTGATTCTAACCTTCTTTGACAACTGCCACCCTCTAAGTACCCTTGCTCGGCCACCAAATCTCACCTAAAAGCAAGGAGATTAAACAAGAATTTTCTGTATAAATCAAGTGAGAGAATATTGAGTATTTGTTGTATAAAGTGGTAAAAATTCAAATTTACCGTCATAACAACAATTCTTACTGCACCTTCAGATTTAAGTTGCTTAAGAATTGCTTTTGTTGACCAGAGTAGGTTTTGAAGGATGAACAGAAAGTGTAGGAGTAAATGGGGGAAAAGGCCTTAAAAAGGAGGCATCAGAGGGTCTGAATGTGAAGGGAAGGGGGAAAAATACCACAGAAGCAAGGTATCAAAAAATAAATTTAAAACATATCATCCAAGTTAAGATGTGAGCTGCATACATACCCAGGTTGCTGCAGAACTCTCCCACCATGCCATCTGGGTTTGCAGTGGGAATCTGGGTAAGGCCTGTCAGAACGAGAACATCGCTGTTTTTGAGAGAAGCTTGGTCCATGGGCTAAAAAAGCATAGAGAGTTATGCTTAGTAATTTAAAAAGGAATGTCACCTACAAGTAGTAAAGGAGAAAGAGAATAGAGACATCACTCTTTCTATCTCCTACTCATCATCAAGTCCTCTTACCTCCTCTAATGAAAAGTCTGTCAGTGAACACTGTTGCCCAAGAGGAATGGGGAGTGACGGGCAGAGGCACGAGGGTACTTTATGGAGTGATGAAAAAGTTCTGTCTTGAATGGGGTGGTGAGCACATGATCTCAAAATTCATAGGATTATGCATTTAAGATTTTTGAGTTTCACTATATATAAATTTTACTTCAATGAAAAAAAGCATATTTCTATAATGCTTTGCTCCTTTCAAAATGCTACCTCACATCATTGGTAGTTCTCAATCTTCAGGGTGCATCAGAATCACCTGGAAGGTTTGCTAAAACATGGATTGCTGGGCCCACCCCCAGAGTTTCTCATTCAAGTGTAAGGTGGGCCTGAGAGTGTGCATTTCTAACAAGCTCCCAGGAGATGCTCTTCATGTTGGCGTGGGGATCACGACTTGAGAACCACTGCACAGCAAAATTTGATTCTCAAAACAACTGTGCAAAGTCTATGAAATAAATGTGAAAATACAGAAGTTGGGACTCGCAGAGTCAAGGTGATTTCCCCTAAGGCTCAGCGGCAGAGGAGCCAGGCAGAACACTGTCTTAGGCAACAGAGACACAAAGCCTCCTCCAATTCCAGGACTAGCCATGTGACCCCAGCCAAGGCTCCAAGTTGGGTTTCTTGTAAACGGGCATATTTCTTTGAGGATTTCTATGAGTCTCATGAGCAAACACACACGATCTTCTTGTGAACTATGAAGTCTTATGGTGCACTATTACATGATCCTTAGCATGTTGTGTTTTTATTTTTACCCAGAAAAATTTGAATTTAATTTTGATTGTTGTCAGAGCATTTCAAAAAAATGCTACCATTTCTAAATAAATTGAGATTCAAACTGGAAACAAAAATGAAGGGCCATGGATTGAGATGCTGGAGAACTCACAAATGTTTTCATTTTGTAACACACCTTTTCCTCCGTTTCATTTGATATACTTACTGGAACATTAGAAGAAAAAAGCAAAAAACATGATTTACGGAGAAGCCTTATCCCTCCTTTCTCTGTTCCACCCAGATTTCCCAATAAAGAAATAAAATTCCAAATAGGAGCACAGTAAAGACCCACTGTCTGTATTGTTATCTCTGAGAATATGTGCTTTTTGATGTATTTTCCTTTAGCATTTTATACAAGCATGGATATATGGGATTTGTTACTTTTTACATAACATGATTGTGGTTATATAAGCTGCTTTATAACCTGAAAAACCTGTCTTTACTGTGGATACAGAAAAAGTACAGTTGTGAAATTGTGGTTATATAAGCTGCTTTATAACCTGAAAAACATGCCTTTACTGTGGATACAGAAAAAGTACAGTTGTGAAAATTATATTGAATAGCTTCTAATTCCTATTTGCAGACACACACCAGTGCATATAAGAGCTTTCCCTCTGCTTGGGCAGAACCCATCTATCTATTTGCACTTCTCCATCAAATATATACACATTTTTTGTTTCCACAAGAGGAAGGAAGGGGCAGTGAAGTGTAGTGGTTTACGGTGGCAGATGTGTAATGAGCCTGGGAATGTTCACTGTGTGTATGCACGAAACAGAAGGAAACCAGAACAGTGACAAAAGGGACGAAGCTTTGTTGGGTAGCATATTTAGCTTAAAATGACAACAATGTTATCAGGATATTATTATAACAAGCCACTAATGATTCACAGGGTTGATGGGGAATGGGAGAATTCAGAGGGCCTAGGAACGCCCTGAAATGGTATATACAATTCTGTGTGTGCCTATGCACATTTTTTCATAGATTTAATCGGGTTGTCCTATGGGGCCATGACCCCCAAAAGGTTAAGAACTACTGAGCTAAATGATAACATATAATAGGGAGCAAACACTGGCCCTGAAAACAATATTATCTCTGAACCTCAGCAATTACCATTGCCTTCTCTTGAAAATTAAATGCCCTTAATAAATAACAAAGGCAGCACTACAATATGATACCACTGAGTTGGAAGTTACGAGATACTTCATGATCAGGTCAGACTAGATGTTCGTAATTTTAGCCCTATAACTCGGAGACATTTCTTGTTCATTCCCAGGGTTACTGTAAAGAAGCAGGCTTAAAAGGCTTTTAGTGACACTCTCCAAACCAAGGTGACACCACCAACATCTCCATTTCACCACCAAAGGGCAAATGTATATATTACTGGCGTCAATGGCCACTCACTGAGTGCTTCAAGTGGGAACATTTTGCTTGAACACACAAAAACAGAAAATTCCATTGTGTCCAAGAATCAAATAAAAATACCTTACAAAACTGACAGTCACAATCAAGCTTGTGGAATAGAATTTGGAAAAACCTTAAGCCCAAGGATGCTGTGGCCATTGTGTTGGTCACATTGCTGGTTGATTTTCATTGGACATTTTGCACACAGCATGAGAAAAAGGAGAGCCAGTCTCTAGGCCCCAGAAGCTTACAATCTAATTGAAAGCAAGTATGTATAATCAAAAAAGGGGATTGTTGAAAAAGCCATAGAGAACAACACAAATTTCAAGAGTTTGCGCTGAGTTTATGTATATGCCAAGTGGAACGCAGACTTCAGAGCTGCACCAGGCCAGGTGAGGTTACTTGTGCATGGTTTTTTGGCAGATTAAGTTTTGGTTCTAGTTTTCTTTCTTTCACTAAGAAACTTAAGACTCAATTTAAGACAAACCCAGGTCACCACCTTTGGAATGCCTCTGTGACACTGCTTCCCTCCCCCACACCAAGATGTCCCTCGTACATGTGCCCCCATGGCCTCCCATACTTTCCATCCCAGCACTAATCCCATGGAATCCTAATCATCCCTTTACTCATCTGTGTTTCCCACAGGACTAGGAAGCTCCCTGAGGGCAGGATTTTGTATCCTAATTCCTAGTAGAATGCTTGGCACACAGCAAGTACTAAATAAACATTTGCTGAATAAATGAAAACATGACAAGAACATGTTCTGGTAGGAAATGTGAGAGCATTCCATGATGGAAAATAACGCACTAGAAGTCAGGAAGGTGAGAATAAGATGTCAACTGTGGGAGGAAGGCTGGGGAGGGCAGAGGGCAGGAGAAGGTGACCTGTAGACGCCAAATGAATTTACTCGCTAGGAAGCAAAGTCTACTTCGGAGCTGACAACAGAGATTAGTAAAAAGAGAGAAAGTATCACTGGTAAAGGGGCAAAAACCCAGAATCATGAAGACTGAGAGGGTGAGCAATGAAGAGCCAAGACCCTGAAGCAGGAAAATGACATTTTGGTAACAATGATTACAGATGACAGCTGAAGGAGGGGGTGAGGCCAAACACAGAAGGAACACTTTGAAGGCCTCTGTAACAGCCCAGACATAAGGAGAAAAAAAATTTCATGGCAGTTGAGGAGACGGAAGAAGCAGATCTATGCAACTTCATAGAAAACAATTAATAAAGATTTGGGAATGGAGTGGATACACAGGATAATGAAGAAAGCAAGACTTTAAATGGCTCCCAAATCTGAATCTGCAATGATTTAAAAGAATAAAGGCACAGTAATAAGTTCAGTGTTGGCAAGCTGCAAGCATTTTGGGAGTAGCAAGACAAATTTATTCTGAGAGTAAAAGATAAACAGTGGAGTATGAAGTATATGGAGATTTTCTAGGTGTCTTCATCTAAGGAGTTAATAGGAATGTCAGCTTATTTAGAGTGAGGAAAGAGGAGTGGGCCTAGGACTGAGGCTGGAGAAACACCATAAATTCAACGGGAGAGGAGCAAACAAAAGAGCAGGACATAATGCAGTGAAGAGCTTCCCTACCTGTGAGAACGAGGAGCTCGGGAGAGACAACAGACAGCGCTTCCGCCCTATAATACGGCAAAAGATCAAGTAGAACAAGAAGAGGAAAACAACAACAACAAGCTTGCTCCAGAAGCCGAGACCAGAAGGAAGTTCAACAAGAGACTGATGAACAGTGTCAACTGCAGCTGTGAGATGCTGTGGAGAATAGAAAAAGTAAAAGTTTGGCCAGAAACTGATCACTGTTGAACTAGAGATGTGAAACCAGATCCGTGAGGTGAAAGAGGCAAAAAGCCAGGTGTACAATTGAGTTGCACAAGGTGAACAGGAGAAATCTCATCACTGCTAAGAGAACGAGAACACAGTAGTCAGGCGATGAGACAGTCAGAGCCCACTCTTCCACGAGCTCCCCTAAGCCCCAGTGGGAAGTCTGTGATCCTCGTTCTGAGTCCCACAGCACTTCACAGTGGATTTCTAATCTGACAGAATTGATCACTTGCAGGAACAAAGTCCTGTATGTACCCATCTTCCTCCATTACTATAACTTCTGTAAATGTAGTACCTACTCATCCATGTTCCCCTTACAGCCTAGTACATTCCACTGTCGAAAGTAGGGATTTAGGAAATACCACTGACTCAATGAGGGAAGGAATGAATAAACAAATACATGAATGCATGTAAGTAGTGTATGTTATTTTTGGGAGAAGGAAATACTCTGCAGAGAGAAGCTGTGCTGCCAGATAAGAAGCAAAACAGCAAGTGTGGAGAGAAACAGACGGGAGTCCAGCCAGTTGTCCAGTCTCTTCCCTCCTTGCTTCATAGGATCTGCTTACTGAGCCCAATTCTACAAACCGATCACGAACCACTCGCAGCTCAGCTTCCCCGCTGTCCCCACCCCCAAATGTTAGGTTTAACCTCAACTGGTTGGCACCACGTCCAAAATGAGGGCAAGAGCTTCATTTCCTCAGGACCGAGCTGAGGAGGTGCTGCTGTGGCTGTGGGATACCTTGGGGCTGCATCCATGGGGAGGAAAAGGTTTCCTGTCTGTGGCCCTGAGGAGGGAGCCGTGTGCTATGGCTTGCCCTGGACATTTCTCTTAAGTAAC